CCTTTGAAGAAGTTCTTTACCAACCAAGTAAGTTTTTTAGACATCAACCCTTCCCCGAAAACTCAATATGTTTTCTGCAAAATTCATTATACACTTCTGAAATAACCTCAAGGCATTCATAATACCTTGACCTCGAATCTCATAGTTTTATTTGTCATGAAAGCCTTCACTAGTTAATGATGAATTAAAAACAACATTTGAACCTTCTAAAATATATAGACCACATATTTTATATCCTTTAGTAATAATCAATTCATCATGTAAAATCTTCAACATTTCACGTTCAACTCTAGTGCAATAGCCCAGATCATCAAACATGGTTATAGATAACAAATTTCGCTTGAATTCTGGAACATACCTCACGTTGTGAAGAAGAAACTCACGATCATCAAACATTTTAAGTCAGACTATACCAATACCATGAACTTTTCAAGCCTTATTATCACCAAGGAGAACTACACCACCTTGCACTAGATTCAAAGTCTCAAAATATTTTATTATTGTACACATGTAATAAGAGCAACATGAGTCAATAACCAAACTATCTTAAGTTTCCAAACTCGACACCACTAGTGCACCGTCATCCTAATAAGCTTCCTCATCCAAGGTAACAACAACTTGAACAGAATCTTCATTGACCTTTCTCTCAGGATAATCCTTCTTAAAGTGATCGGTTTTTTGACAATTAAATATTTTACCTTTGATTTGGACATCCCTTTATGCTCACCTCCTCCTCTTGACACTCTTAAGCCTTCACCAATATATTCAATCTTCAAATCTTTTACCTTTGAAATTTTTTTGGATTTTACTGTCGTCTGGACTTCATCTAAAGTGATAGTACATTCCTTACCATAAAGAAGGACATCCTTAAAATTCTCAAAGGATCTGGGTAATGAAATTAACAAGAGTAAAATTGTGTCCTCATCTTTAATCTTTACTTCAATATTCTCAAGATCATCAATAATCTTATGAAATTTTGTAAGCTCCTCAACTATAGATTTATTCTCCACTATTCGGAATGAATAAAGTTGTTATTTCAGACACAACCTGTGAGGCAAAGACTTGATCATATATAATGATTCAAGTTTTTCCCACATAGAAACCACAGTTTTCTCCCTAATGACTTCTCTTATAACTTAATCCCCAAGGCACAAGATAATGGCACTCTTGGCCTTATCCATCATCTTGGTCTAATGTACTTGTGTAAGCTATGCAGACATCAATGCTTCACTCTTCAAAGCATCGACACACTTCTCTTGAATTAAAATTGCTTGCATCTTAATTTTCTACTACCCAAAGTCGTTTTTTCTAAAAAATTGGTACTCACTTGTAAATAATACTCATTTGCCCCACAATAGACGCCACTTACTGTGAATAAAGACGAGGTTCAATTTCAATATGTGAGGTAAAGAACATTAGCAACCAAAATAAATGGTCTTCAGTAATAATAATCAATAAACTAATAATATAATGGAATAAGACAGAAAAAATGGTGAAAGGTTTGTTTACCCAGTTCAATCAAAATATCTACTCTAGGGGAGAGAGCAGCTCTCCAATTTACTATTTTCAGAGTTGTTACAAGAGATTATAGATGAGTTACAAGAAAATAGTTTCCGCCTTCAGAGCTCCCAAGAACAACCTTGAAGGCGCACAAGAACAACTTTATTTTCTATCCAAGTATTTCCCAACATCTCCAACTCTCAATAATGTAAGCACACAAACCTATTGTGTAACAAGTATTTCTCAATACCCTTAGATAACTCCAAAGGTTTCCGTAAACGTTTTCCTTTCTATGTTCTCCTTCAGAAGACCCTAAATCCTTTGCTCTACCCTTTTGTTGTAAACTATAATATTGTCACCTTTAAACACAATAAAGAGATATATATTTATAATAGCTAAAACCCAAGCCCAAAAAACACAACTCATTAATTATTAGAATAAAATATTATAAATATCTTATAATATATTTTCTATTAATTTAGATGATTTCTAAATTTATATATATATATATATATATATATATATATATATATATATATATATATATATATATATATATATATATATATATATATATATATATATATATATATATATATATATATATATATATATATATATATATATATATATATATATATATATATATATATATATATATATATATATATATATATATATATATATATATATATATATATATATATATCCAATATTCTAATATTAATTAACGGATATGCAAACCGAACCAATGAAACCCTAAATGCACGAACCGTCTAAATCAGACATTCTTGCTGCTTTTTGGCAATCTCGAAACATGTTTTCTTTCTCTTCATCAACAAAGGTAATTTAAGGCATACTTCAACAATATCCACCTTTACTTGAAACCGTCTTGATGTCAAGTTAACCATCAACAACCTTGTCACTCTCTACCATGTTGAAACTCTAATCAATAACCTTAATCAAATTCAAATCACCGTTGAATCTTGATCTCGCCACCTGCATTCATTCATTTTTGTGCTTAATCTCAAGCACAAATAAAATCATTTTGTCATCATTTTCTTAAAACAACTTTACTGAATCTCGTAATCAATTGTGTAATTTTCTTTCAAATCAACTTTTTCTCACTTTTGAAAAGTTCAAAACCCTTGCAATCAGAATTCTTTCTTACCTCCTCTCAGGACAATCCTTCTTAAAGTGATCATGTATATGACAAATGAAGCACTTTAACTTTGACTCATCAAAAGCATTGGACTTAAACTTCTTCCTCTTCTGGTTTCATTTACTCTCATCCCTTCCTCCTAAAACACTTAAGCCTTCAACATAATCCTCAATCTTTAACTCCACCATCTTGGTTAACTCCTGGATTGTAATGGTCGAATGGACCTCCTCTAAGGTGATAATGTCTTCCTTACCATAAAGAATGACATCTTTGAAATGTTTAGAACATTTGGGTAAAAATATCAACAAGAGCCACACTTTGTTCTCATCATCAAGCTTCGCCTCAATATTTTACAAGTCATCAATAATTGTGTTGAATTCTATCAATTGCTCCACAATGGAATTGTTCTGCACCATTCAAAATGAATAAAGTTGTTGTTCCACACACAATTTATGATCCAAAGACTTATTTATATACTATGAGTCAATCTTAACTCACATCTCCAGCGTGGTCTTCTCCCTTGAGACATTACTTAGGACTTATCTATAAAGTACAAGATAATTACTTATAGTCTTATTTACTATCTCATTCTTCTCTTCTTGTCTTAACCCCGCATGCATCAATGTCTCATATGTCAATGTTTTTTCACTTCAATAGAATTTAAATTGTTTTCATTTTCATTTTTCACAATAAAAAAGTATTGTCTCCTAAAAACGTCTCGATATTCCATTTAAAACACACTGTATTCACTTGTAAATTTAACTCACTTTTCCACAGAGAATGCCACTTGTGAATTAAAAGGTTCAATCAAACCAAAAACTTTAATACGTGAACAAAAAAACAATGATAACTAAAATAAATAATCTTAAATAAAATTCATTAATATTTAAAATAATGTAAGTAAAACTAAATTAACAAAAAGAAGAAATCAAATGACAGAGTAAACACACAATATATTTATTCAGTTCAATCAATTAGTCTACTATGGACTATGGAGAAAAACAATTTTTTGATCCACTATATTTAAAAGTTTATAAGAGATTGTAATATAAATTACAAGAAAATATCTTTCCAAAATTATAAGAATGTCTTCTATTTTTTAAGTGTTTCTCAACCTCATCTCCCAAACAATCAATGGATTCTCGCAAACAATTTTCTTAAAATTTTAGAGTTAATCTCCATATTCATCTTATATCCTTATTGCATATGACATATATTTCTTTGGAAAAACTAGGAAGAGTTCCCTTTTTCTTTTTCTTTTGCTACCAATTCTATTTGAATTTAAATGTTTATATTTGGGACCTATTTTTTCTGTCCAAGAGTAGTCTCTTTCTAGCAATCTCTTTCTTTCTAAAGAGAACCAAACTAACTTCATTGTCACGATGAGTCACAAGAGAGAGGAGAAGAAGTCTCATTCTCACATTTCTTTATTTCACAATCATAGTAGTAGCTTCTTAACCACATGTCCTCTAAAAATCCCTTCACACGTCTTTAATACATAACCATGCATTTTTTCTCAAACCACTTATTTATTAATCAATATTAATTAATATATTTGGTCGACATTTGCTTCACCCAATAGACATGTTGATAGAGGTTTGGTTTTGCGGTTACTGTTCTATTAGAATTTCACTATGAGATATTAAGAAGTAGAATTTAAACTAAGAAAAATAAAATAAATTTTGATTTTTCATATCCTAATCAGTCCCACACTTACAATATAAATACTAGCAGTTAATGGGTCTAAGCCACATGGAGGAAATAGAAACTAATGGGCCTAACCCTTTTAGAGACAAAACAGAATTTAAAAAAAAAAATACTAATATTTAAAACTCATAATCTTTCAATCAAAAAGGTTTTGTTAAAATTCTTTTGGACTTCCTATCACTACTTTTCGGCCCAAATAAAACTTTGTCCACAAGGTTTTGTTCAAGATGCAGCCCATTAAGAGGAGGAGAGCCCATTTGACTAGGTTGAGTGGGACAAAACGTGAAGGGATTTGGTGGAGTAAATGGGTCTTGAAAAGTGTAATCTTGAGCCTTGTGTACATTGAAGGGAGGTAAAAAAAGATGCAAAACTCAGTGTAGAAGGGATAAGGGCTCCAGGGATAGATGTCAGGCATGTAGAAGGGAGAGGGATCATTAAGGCTTGTGATTGGGCCACTGGGGATAAGAGCAGATTGTCACTAAAGCTTGAAGATAAGAGAGGATCTAGGAAATCTTGAGTTGGCAGTAATCCAGTTGTGGTTACTATGCAGTCACGTGGTGAGATAGGACAAGGCCCACTGCAGACCGTTGAAGTACTTGAAAGGTCAATATGGTCAACAATATTTGGCACTTCACTTTGCTTTACTATATTTCCTTTCTCTTTTTGCGTTGTGACGACAAACCCTTTTCAACATCACGAGATTCACTTGGTGCATAACCTTCTTCTTCCTTCTGTTCTCTCTTTCTCCATGCAAAGAAACATTGATATCGGATGCTACGGCCTCACGATTTTTAGGTGAAGAAGGTAAAAGAACCAGATCATTAAGGTTATCCTTTTCTTCTCTTTGGTCTTGTTCAGGCATATTATTAACTGATTGTTTTTTTTCATGTATGTGCATGTTCCAGATCCGATGGTAAAGGCGAGAAATCAGATGGAGGAACGGATCCGTTGTAGCGTCTTAGTTAAGATACATGAATCACCAAATGGATTTTCGAAGATGAAGGGAGATCCAACTCGTAAGCCATCGCTCCGATACACCGCAACACCGAGAAAGGTCCAAAATACCTTGGGGCCAGCTTATGGGATGAGCGTTTCTAAATTGAAAGTTGGCGATAGGGTTGTAAATGGAGAAGGAAGAGATCGTTAACTTTTAAGGTGCAGTCGATTCTCTTTTTATTCGCTTGATCTATCATTTGTGCTCTGCTTTTTGTTAGATTAGCTTTTAAGATGTCAATAATCTCTTGTCTGTTTGCCAATACATCGTCCATTGATGAGTTTTCCGATAACCCTTTTGTGTAGTCACACAAGGTTGGTAGGGGTCTGCCATAGAGAGCTTCGAAGGGCGACATTTCGATGGCCGAATGAAGGGAAGAGTTTTACCAAAATTCCGCAAGATGAAGAAATTTGAACCAATGTTTCGGCTGGTCTGCTGTGAAGCAACGAAGGTACAATTCTAGACTTCTATTCACTACTTCTTTTTGTCCGTTTCAGGATGATAAGCAGTACTATGTTTCAGGGTCGTCCCTTGGAGGCGGAAAAGTTCCTTCCAAAAAGCACTGAGGAAAAGAGGGTCTCTATCGGAGACAATAAACTTAGGAATACCATGGAGGCGACATATCTCAGAGGAGAACCTGGTTGCAAGATCTAGAGCTTTGAAGCGTGAAGGCAAGGCTAAGAAATGGACATATTTGGACAAGCGATCACAAATGACCCAAATAATTGTATGACCGAACGAGGAAGGTAAATAAGTAATATAATCCATTGTTAATTCTTCCCATACCTGATTTGGAACTGTTAATGGTTTTAGTAACCCCTATTTTTTCTTTGGAAGATACTTGCTTCTTTGGCAGATGGAGCAGCACTGAACAAAGGTTTTGACATCCTTGTATAAACCAGGCCAATTGAAGGATGCTGAAAGTATTGTATAGGTTGGTTAAACTTCGGGATGTCCTGCATTAGGTGTGGCATGGTACTCGTGGAGAAGTGTTTGTCTAAACACAGAATCATGTGGTGTGTATATCTGATCCTTATAATATAGAATTCCATCTTGAAGCTTGAAAAAGTTATGCAAGGTCAGATCTGAGATGTACTTATCTAAAAAATGTATGATGTCATTGTCTTTGTAGTGTTTTTTGAGCTCGTGTAAAACTGAAGGAACTGGAGATGAAAGATTGAAAAGCACGTCATCATCCTCTGTATGTCTGTGACTCAGTGCATCTGCAACTTTATTGTTCTTACCAGGTTTGTAAAAAATATCAAAACTGAATCCTTGAAATTTCGATGCCCATTTCTGTTGTTCCGGGGTTTATATGGTTTGGACCAGTAGGTTCTTCAAGCTTTTTTGGTCCGTAAAAACGTGAAAGTGTCTCGCTATTAAGTATTTTCTCCTTTTTTTTATAGATTCGGTGATGGCATACATTTCCCGAACATAGACGGACGATGCTTGCATACGAGGGCACATCTTTTTGCTGAAGAAGGCAAGAGGGTGACCTGCTTGGGAGAGGACAACTCCAATGGCTACTGCAGATGCGTCGGTTTCAAGGACGAAGGTGTTGGTGAAGTCTAGAAGCATGAGAACAGGGGTTACTGTCATTTTATTTTTCAGTATTGTAAAAGTTGTATATGCTGATACACTCCATGTAAACTTAGTAAATCTTAAAAGATCGGTGAGCGGAGCAGCGTGTGTGGTGCAATGATGAACAAATCATTGATAAAAGCCAGTGAGACCTAAAAACCCCCTTAGTGTCGTGAGAGAATGTGGCTTCGGCCATTCTAAAATTCCTTGTATCTTGGATGGATCAGGGGTTACACCATCTTTTGATATAATATGACCTAAGTAATCAACGCTAGAAACAGTAAACACGCATTTGGACAATTTGGCAAAAAATGATTAGTAGAAAGCAAACCTAAAATCAACCGTAAGTGACGTATGTGATCAGATAGACAAGAACTGTAAATAAGAATTTCATCAAAGAAAACCAAAACAAACCGTCTTAAGTAAGGCCAGAGAAGATCATTCATGGCCGATTGAAAAGAACTAGGAGAATTAGTCAGCCCAGAAGGCATATCCAAAAACTCATAATGCACGTCAAAAGTCTTGAACGCTGTCTTGTGAGTGTCTTCTGGTGTTACCCAAATTTGGTGGTAGCCTGACTGGAGGTAAATCTTTGTAAACAAAGATGCAGAACCTAAATCATCAAATAGTTTATCAATGGTAGGGATAGGGAATCAGTCACGGATAGTGAGTGCATTAAGTGCGCGATAATCAACACAAAAACGCCATGACCCGTATTTTTTTTGCACTAGCAACACAGGTGAAGAGTAGGGGCTATTGCTAGGTTGTATAATGCCATCCTGTAGCATATCATGTATTATTTTAGTCATTTCTTCTTTTTGAGAGTGGGGATAGCGGTACAGTTTAATATTTACTAGAGTAGAATTGGGGGCTATGGGAATGTGATGGTCATGTGGGCGGCATGGGGGAAGGCCTTTAGGTTTTTGAAAGATGGAAGATTGTGAGTGTAAAACTTCTTTTATTTATTTGGGTAACTGTTGTACCCCAAAATTTGCCCTCCCATTTTCTTCAAGATTTGCTAAGAGCATGCTTTAAAATCTCCCCAAAGGTTGCACAATCCAATGGCCTCCTAACAGTCAAAAATTAGGGTTTTGGTTCTGGCAAAGAAATTGAAGTTTCCAAGGGTCCAAACAAGTCCCACATGCCTATAAACATGGTCAAGCATCCATATGTTAAGTTTCAAGACTCACAGCACAAAATTGCACAGTCAAAAACCCTAATTGCTCAACAGTCAACTGCAGGGGCAAAATGGTCATTTGACAGTCAAAAGTCAAAATTTTTGCTCAACATCTTATTTTGAAGCCACAAACACCATTTGATCAATTCTTGATCATGATTCTCAAAGCATGGCTCAAAAAGTCTCAAGATGCAAAAGTTTCTATTTTTGGACAGTTGGAAAAGTCAACTACAAATTGACCAAGGCATAACTTCCACATGGTTTATCAGAAAAATTCCATCCAAAGCTAATTTTGAATAGAATGAGATTTCCTACAACTCCTTTTCACACTTCAAGTCCAAGAAATGCTCTCACAAAAAGTTATCAATCTCAACATTATAGGTCATTTTCAAAAGTCAACAAAAAGGCACTTTAAGTCAAAGACCATAACTTGATATTGGTAAATCAAAATGACATGGTACCAAAGGCATTGGTTAAAGGACTTCAAGACCTTTCCAAAATGTCATAGAACATGATCAAAGCTTAAAAATTGAGCAAGATATGCCTTGTGGAAGTTGGGAAATTTTTGGGAATTTTGAAAAGTCAACTTTGCTTCAAATGCCTCAAAATTGCTAATGGGCCTCAATTTCTCCCATGAATCCTTATCCAAAAGCTATGCACGACCCATTTACATCCAAGGGAGTTATTTCATCATTTTTTATTAATTATTTTAATTTTTATTATTATTAATTCATTTAATTAAAATAAAATATGACAAAAATAGCAAATCATGTTTTCCAAATCTTTTTACACAGCATATTCACTCTTTATGAGCTCAAGATTTCGTGCACACTCAAAAGGGAAAGAATCTTCAATGATTGGCATAAGATTGGTATGGAAAAGATTGAAAAAAGATGCTTGAAAATCAAATATTGAAAGGCATTAAAACATGGATCATGGGCTTTGTTTTTGACCTAGAATAATTCCTCATACATATGCAAACAGAACCCTAAGGCTGAAAGACATGAATGTTGCGCTGAAACCTCAAAACAAAAACTTGCATTTTTTCTTAAAAATATCAAAATTGTTTTCATAGCTGCAGTGCGTTTCAAGGCCAAAAAACCATTCCAATAGCTTGCTTACACATCCAGGAAGGGATTGCAATCAAAAACACAACCCCTAACCCAAAGAAGTGGTAGAACACAGTCGCCCTGTTCATGAACTTTTGCATATTCGTATTTGAATTTATACACATTTCCCATGCATTTTAATGTTTGATTTATACTAACATGTTCATTCTAAAGCTAATGGCATCGTTCAATTGAAGAATGGCTGCCTGTAGGAGAATCCACCATGGACATTTTTTAGGGTTTCAGGAACCTTGAATTAGGGTTTTACGCTTGAGGAAAAATTGGACAACCAGACTAGTACTATCGAAACCAGGGCATCTGGACGAAACGATTGACCACCTCGTGCTCAATTTATGATTAACTGTGCTCTATTCGTTATTTTTGTAGGTACCATTTAGTGGGGGTTTAAAACCCCCGCTATCCATTGTTTATTTTCAGGCAAAAAACGAAGAAGGGAGAAGAAGATGCTAGCGTGTTGAATGATGATTGGCCAGTTTGAATAACTGGCGCCCTTTTTTATTTGTCCAACATAATAATTGTTTCTCTCTCATATTATTCATATTCCATTTAATTAACAAAGACAAGCGTTGGTTGGGTTGGTTGATGTGTTGTCACGCAGGCAATGGGACCTGGGTTCGATTCCCAGGTCCCCCATATTCTTCATAATTTTGTTTATAATGCGTTCAGGTATAATCCCCTTCCAGTGGTCCACCAAACTCCCCAACGCTTGTGCCTGCCAAGTGGCCAGGGGTCCCAATCCAAAGGTCAGAATTTGCAGATCACCATGGACACCAGTCAACCACTCCTCACACAAACGCTGAAAGTCAACGTGGGCCTGGAATTCTTGGGCCAAACTGCTTTCTATAAACCTCCTCAATTTGGGTCAACCACCCCCCATGTTTGCATTTTCTTTCTCTCTTTTTGTTCTTTCTTTTATTTATTTTAATTATGTTAATTATTTTCTTTTAATTCACCAAATTAATTTTATAATATAAAAATAC